AAAAAAAAAAAAAGAAAGAAAGAAAGAAAAAATAAATAAAAAGTTAAAAATTCATTTCATTTTAATCCTGTGCTTTCTAAAGATAAAATTACTTTCATTTTTAAAAGAGAATATTTTTTATATTTGTGTTAATTATATGACAGTATAACTATGAAACCAATAGATATTATATATAGTCCCTTAATGTCTTCTTATGGTTACTTAAATTATACTGTTATAAATATTCATTCTGTAGATACCCAAATCTTGAATGGTTTTCATATCTTAGAAATGAGAATAATACCTTACAAGTATTGTGATAATTGCAACTATTGTCATAATTATGTAACAAGTACAAATTGATTAGGACTATGTCTGGACACATCATCACCAATGATTGATACCAGTATTGTTAAAATAACTTGATCTGTGTAAAAACAGTAAAAGCTATAAAATCAATAAAAAATCATTAATGGAAGTAGATATTGAAAAGTGGGTCATTACGTTAAATCTATAAAGCTTAACATCTGACACAAAGCTGGATTTTTTTTTTCTTTTTTGAGAAAGAGTCTCACTTTGTCACCCTTGGTAAAGTGCGGTGGCATCACAGCTCACAGCAACCTCCAACTCCTGGGCTCAAGCGATTCTTTTGCCTCAGCCTCCCAAGTAGCTGAGACTACAGGCGCCAGCCACAACACCTGGCTATTTTTAGAGACAAGGTCTCGCTGTGGCTCAAGCTTTCTGGAATCCATGAGCTCAGGCAATCTACCTGCCTCAACCTCCCACAGTGCTAGGATTACAGGTGTGAGCCACTGCGCCCAGCCTACAAGGGTGGATTTCAGTAAATATCCATCATATTTGCTTGTACCTTAGGAGTAGTATTTTCTGTGTATAATTATCTGCCAGGAAAAATGACTCATAATAAGAGTAGGTGTGGAGAGAAGTTTCAAGTAAGGATCAAAATCTAAAACAAAAGCAGAGCCTAACTCCATTTATACTCCAGTGAATAGTAGGAAAACTAATTTTAAAAGTCCAAAAACTATTATGAAACTAGTTAATTATTTGTCATAGTGATAGACATGCTCCTGAATTAGAGCAAAATAAAATTTTAAAACAAAATTAGATAACAAGGTCCCACTGTTAAAACCTTACAGGCTCGGCACCCATACTCAGTCAGTAGGGCACCAGCCACATACACCAAGGCTGGCGAACCAGCCCTGGCCTGCTAAATAACAATGACAACTACAACCAAAAAAAACAAAAAAGAGTAACCTGGCATTGTGGCAGGTGCCTATAGTCCTAGCTACTTGGGAGGCTAAGGCAAGAGGATTGCTTAAGCCCAAGAGTTTGAGGTTGCTGTGAGCTGTGACGCCGCGGCACTCTACTGAGGGCAACATAGTAAAACTCTGTCTCAAAAATAAATAAATAAATTAAATAAAACCTTATAGTCTTAATAGCTCAGAATCCAGCCCACGTTACAGAACTAACTGGCTCTGTGAATTTAAGCAAGAAACTTGACCTCTTTTTTAATCTATAATTGTAAGAGGTTTGTATTAATTCTTCGCTCAAGTGTGCACTTATTCTATTAGTTCATTGATTATCAAAAAAAGTAAACATGGCCAGGCACAGTGGATCACCCCTGTGATCCTAGCACTCTGGGAGACCAAGGCAGATGAATTGCTTGAGCTAAGGAGTTTGAGACCAACCTAAGCAAGAGCAAGACCACTATCGTGCTCTGCTGTTCCATTCATACATAACCAGAGTCTGTAACAATAGCCAGGTGATGCAATGGATGCCTGTAGCCCCAGCTACTCGGGAGGCTAAAGCAAGAGAATCACTTGAGCCCAAGCATTTGAAGTTGCTGTGAGCTATGATGCCATAGTACTATACTCAGGGTGACAAAGTAAGATTCTGTCTCAAAAAAAAAAAAAAAAAAAAGTGAACATTCAGAATTTTTAAATCATCTTTTATATAAAAACACACTTGAGCCCAGAAGACTTAATTTTATTTATTTATTTATTTTTTTTTTTTTTTTTTTTTTTTGAGACAGAGCCTCAAGCTATCCCCCTGGGTAGAGTGCCATGGCATCACAGCTCACAGCAACCTCCAACTC